CTTAATGTTTTGTGTGCAAATATATTTAATATATATACATATACACATATATATATATACACACACATACATATACATAGTAAATATATTTGCACACAAAACATTAAGAGTTTATAAAATATGTTTTTTAGTTTACTTATTTTAGAGTTTGAATCATCACATCTGCACTAATAAGAGTTATTACATCATAATTGTGGTAATTAAACAACAGATGCGTAAAAATGTTAACATGTAGATGATGTCTCTTTTCAGAAACCAACAAACCCAGTCTGACTCACTATGAACAGTCCCAGAGGAACCAGTTCTGGTCCTGCATGGTGATGGTCTGATCTGACCCTGGTAGACCATCAAGTATGATCTGACCCTGGTAGACCATCAAGTATGATCTGACCCTGGTAGACCATCAGAGACATGGAGAAGTTCGGGATGAGTTTTGGGGGCGGTTCCGGCCGGAAGGAGCTGGTGGACACCATCGAGTCCCAGAAGAAGCAGCTGGTCCAGTACCAGACTCGCTTCAAAGATGTGGTCCGGGCCTATAAGAGTCTTCTGAAAGAGAAGGAGGCTCTGGAGGCCAGTTTGAAGGTCTTGACTGTGATGCAGGAGGTGGACCTGAACCAACAAGGCCAGGACACCACCACCTTGGACCTCCTGGAGGATGGCAGCTCACTGCACAGCGAGGACAGTGTGGACACAGCAGCGTCTGTGGACACGCCCAGTGAGACCACCAGAGGGGACCAGAGCGAGGAGGACCAGGGAGAACCAGGACTAAAGTCCGGCTCAATGGTACGTCTTTAAAATCATAAACGATGCTGCTGAAGACGTCGGGAACAGTTTAACGTGAGGACTTTTCTTCCTTGCAGACCCTGCGGTCCGACCTGGAGAACAGTGGCGTGGGGGCGGACCCACAACATCAGGCCACGCCCCCTCCCGGCACGGAGGTGGACCGCCGACTCGCCCAGCTGAAGAACCAACTGAGCACGCTCACCGGCGCCCTCGCAACGGTAACCCACGAGAAGTCCCGAATGGAGGCGAGCTTTCAGGCCGACAAGCGGCAGCTGAAACAGGAAATGGAGGAGCTCCAGGAACGCCTGGTCACCGTGACCACGCAGCAGGAGGCGGAGCTCCGCGCCCTCCAGCAGCAGCTGGCGGAGAGCCGCGCTCGCGTCATCACGCAGCAGCACGAGAGGGAGCAGGAGCAAGGAGACCATGTCCAGCAGCTCAGGGAGCTCCAGAGGATCTTGCAGCAGGAGAGAGACCTGCGACAGGAGGCAGAGCTCCGCCTGCAGGATGCCAACGCCACTCTCCTCGTGACGTCGCAGGCCGTGGACCGGGGGGCGGAGTCCCAGGCCCACCTGAACCAGGTGAGGGAGGAGAGAGACGAGCTGAGGAGGAGGCTGCAGGCCGCCGAGGAGGACCAGAAGAAACCAGATCCCAGAGTGAACGAGCTGCAGCAAGAGCTGACGGAGCTGAAAAGACACTTTCTGCAGCAGATCCACCTGGAGACCAGAAAGGTAAAACTGAGACCCTGACCATCTAAAACCAGGTCTAAACTAACTAAAACCGGGTCATAACCTGAGACTGTTGTTGTTTTGCAGGCCTGCGAGGCAGAGGAACGAGCTCGTGAGCGCGCTCAGGATGCAGAGTCGAGGGTCGCCGGTCTTGAACAGAGAGTCTCTGAACTGTCGGAGCTGCTGGGTTCCTGTGAGAAGTCGAGGCAGAGAGACCAGCAGGCGGCTCAGAGGCTCAGAGACCGGATCCTGCAGCTGGACACGGAGAACAAGACACTCGCCATCGCCGCCTCCAGCAGGATGACCTCCGACCTCGGCGTGGATGAGTCTCAGCTGGACATCGTCACGCTGAAGGAGAAGCTGGAGAAGGTGAAGAAGCTGCTATCGCTGGCGGCTCAGAGGAACCCGGACCAGAACCTGGTGGTGGAAACAGAGCCGGGCGGAGACAAAGCCTCCCTGTTCCACCAGCAGGAGCTCCAGCAGCTCAGGGACGAGTTTGAACGCTACAAGCTGCGAGCGCAGGTGGTGCTGAAGAACAAGAACGCCAAAGATGGCTGCCAGGCCAAAGAGCTGGAGGAGGTCCGGGACCAGCTGTCCGAGCTGAGGGAGAAGTACATCAACCTGCGGATCCAGAGCGACGAGGCTGAGACCCGGCAGCGCCGAGAGCTGGAGGAGCGGCAGCAGCGGGTGGCGGCGCTGCAGCACGCCAGCAAACAGGAAGCGGAGCGGGCGGAGGCGTCGCACCGTGACGACCTACTGCGACTGGAGGCGGAGCTTCACAAGCAGAGAGAGAGGACCATGGCGCTGCTGGACGAGAAGGACCAGGAGCTGGAGAGGCTGCGGGCCGCCGTCGTGCCGAGCTGCACCGGCGGCGGCGACCGCAACCGAACGGCCGACGACGAGCGCGAGTTCGGCCCGGAGACTGAGGGCGACGTGGTCAGCCAGGCGCTGCGGCGGGCGGCGCCCAACGAGCCAACGCTGCTGCTGTACGCCGAGCAGCTGGCCAGGAAGGAGGCGGAGGCCGGCGGACTGCGGCGGCAGAAACACCGGCTGGAGGAAGACGTCCACCAGCTGCAGGCCAGGCTGGTCGCCAACCGGGAGCGCCACGACGAGGAGGCGTCCGGGCTGAGAAGACAACTGGAAAAACTCATCCGAGATCAGAGCAGAGAGGGCGCCAACATGGAGTACCTGAAGAACGTCATCTACAAGTTTCTGACACTGCAGGACAACAGCGGGAGGCAGCAGACGCTCAACGCCATCCAGACCATCCTGCACTTCAGCCCGACGGAGAGACGCACCGTCATGGGGCTGCAGGGCGCCACCTGGTGGACCAAGAGGTAGAACACCTGGACTAGAACCACCAGGAGGCTGCAGGGCGCCACCTGGTGGACCAAGAGGTAGAACACCTGGACTAGAACCACCAGGAGGCTGCAGAGCGCCACCTGGTGGACCAAGAGGTAGAACACCTGGACTAGAACCACCAGGAGGCTGCAGGGCGCCACCTGGTGGACCAAGAGGTAGAACCAAAGTGACGGGTGTTTCTGGGTTTCTATCTGAACTCTGTGTTTATCTTAATGTGAGGAAACATTTAAAAGGTTTATTTAATACATTTCTTCATATCACTGATATATATTTTTGATTCCTTTGTTGAAATTAAACTTTTCTTGCTTCACAAACTGTTTGGTTCATTTTAAAGGTCTGAAATTAATTAATTCAGAGTTAATTTGTATCAAAACATCGTAAAATGTCATCATTTTTAGTCATAACATCGCCTCGTTCGGATTAAAGAATTATTAATAAAAGCAGGTTTGTGAAGATGAAATGATCAATATTTATATATTTAATAAACAAAGTAGACAAAATGTGAACATGATTCAGGTTTTACTTTTCAAATACAAACTAAATATTTACAGATGTTTGAGATCAAGGAAAAGGCAAATAACACAATATTATTATTCATATTAATGTGAGTAACATTCACTGAGCTCAGTCTGCGATACAAAAATAACATCTGGTCAATGTTCAAGTCTGACGTTCTAATAAAGAGTCATCATTCAAACAAAAGATAAATATGAAAATAATATTAAACGTGTGGAGAAAAGAAACATTTAAATAAATTAACATTTTATTCTGTTTGGTGGAGATTTTATGATAAAAGGTGAGAAGTGTGTACTCAGTGTGTACTCAGCGTGTGATCCGTGTACTCGGTGTGTACTCGGCGTGTACTCGGCGTGTGATCCGCATGTACTCGGCGTGTGATCCGCG